CATCGATCAGGATGAATTATTGGAAGGGCATAGCACTGGTACCATCGTCAGATTCCAACAGCTTTGAGGCAGCAATCACGTTACAATAACTCCTTCAGAAGATTAGCTGAAAATATTTTACAGGACTATAGAGCACATCATAAATCAAAGTGAATAAAAACCTGCAGAATCACTATAGCTTCCCCTGCAAAATAGGAAACATGAGTTGGCAACTGCTGTGAGACAGAGCATCAAGAATTACTGTGATGATCATCCTAAAAAAACACGGGGGGAGAGAAACACCCACCTCCCCAATCTATGCTTTTATCGGAAGCCACCCTAGATAGAAACAAGGTTTAAAAAATTACTGATGTGCCCAGCAAGCAGTAGTAAACTGCAACAAAAATCAGTACAGAGCATGTTCTGCACCTTGAGCTCTAGACTGCTATAGAATAAAGACAAAAGAATTCAGGAGAATAGGATCAGCAGAGCAGTGCTTAAGGTGGGTGGGAAGGCTAGGATTGCACTAAAATCATCTTTCCCTTTCTTAAGAAGTAGTTTGACAATTAAAGTCATTATTATTTAACTGTAGTTTAGCACTTCTAGGTTATAATTTGTAATGTTAAAAATTCAATTCCAGTCTTTCATCTATAGACTGCATGAGTTTCTTTGGTTTGTAAAAAGCTTTTAAAGTTAAACATTTCTGATCAGTACTCTAAATGTTAATTAAACTTTAGTCTGCTGAAATTGGCTTTATCAGTGAAACGTTTCAAAAGAGGAGAATCTACTAAAATATCCAAATTTGCCTGTGTGTCCTTAATCATTAAACTATTTTAAGACCCTCACCAGCTCAATTAAAGAGTCAGGAACTTTTTCCATTGTCTGGAAGGGATGCAGACCAGGCCCTTATTGCTTTCTCTGACCCTAGGTTTAGTACATCTGAGTTTCCCTCTGTAGGAAAGTCCCATTTTAATTATTTATTTGTAACCAGCTACAGTATACTTAATACTAAAATTCAAGGCAGTATTCTCTCTCCAGACCAAAACCAAGTATGCTCTGTGTCTGCCTTCTTAAAATAAAAGTACTTCAGAGGTTCACTGGAGTATAAAATAACTGACTGACTCAGGTGCTGAAATACAAAACAGCTCAAGTCGGGCAGCTTTGTGATACTGAATTTCACACTTAAAACGAACATCATGTTGCTGTTTGATGTGAGCAGAAATTAGACTTCATGGCAAAGCTAAATCCACAGCAGTGAAAGTTGCATTCTGGTTGTCTTGGTGATGTCAGAGGATGAATTAGGGGTACCTTCAGTGAATATAATGTCTCAAAATACGGTGTTCTCCAACCCACTCACACAAGTGAAAAAAACCTGTGATTCAGAAGTAACTGAAATCTTGTTGAAAGTTGAGAAAAGCAGGGACCTTTTTGGATCAGTCGGCATTCTTAGTACTGGGACTTTATCCAGATCTCTTGGTTAGTGTCAATGGAAGTCTCTTGACTGATCTCAGGGAGTTTTGGGTCGTGCCTTTAATGAGGAAAACTGTTTTACACCTTGCTGAGGAAAGCAAGGACAACTTGTTAATGAACAGTGGAGGGTCTCTAAGGTGGTCAGAAGGCTGGAGCACTTGCTCTGTGAGGAGAAGCTGAGGAAATTGGACTTAGCCTGGAGAAGAGACAGCTCTGGGGGGACCCAGCAGCTGCTCTGCAATACCTATGGGAAGAGCATCAAGAACATGGAGCCAGGCTCTTTACGGAGGTGCATGAAGAATGAAAGGCAACAGTCATAAAACAAAGCAGGGAATTTCCTGACTGGATGTGAAGAAGACTTTTTTTACCTTGAGGATAACCAAGAGGTAGAGTTCGTTACCTGAAGAGGTTGTGAATTCTCCGTCCTCAGAGGTTTTAGAAACTGAACTGGGCAAATCTCTAACTATCTTGGTCTGACACAGTGTTGACCCTGTTTTGATAAGGTGGCTGGGCTAGATGACCTACCAATCTTCATTCAATCTAATAATTCTATAAATTTTTTCAAAGACAAAAATTAATAGAAATTTCTCCAATAACATTTTAAAAATATGTAAATATTATCAAACACCCACTGGTCTTAGTGACATGGGATTGTGTGATTGCATTGTGCTCTGGGGGTCAATCCTGTAGGGTGTACACCAATTCCAGACATATACATTGAAGAATTCTAAACTTTTCACAGGATCAAGCACAAAACTTGACATTTGTGTCGGTGACCACTGGTGTCCACTGTACTAAAGTGACTATTTGAGTTACCATACTGGTAAGATTTGTGTACATTGTCAGTATAAAACCACTACAAACTTCATGTGCTGTTTATTTATACGTTTTCCTTTCCCAAAAGGGAAACTAGCAAAGGTATAATGAGTGTGGAGCCTAAGAGATTTGACTGTTAGGAGTGAAAGACTTTGATACTTGCACAAAAATAAAGTTGTTCTTTATGGATATTAAGTGAGACTAACTACAATGTCTGTACGGAAGCTACAGCAAACCAGTTTAGCTTTACCAGTCATAAATCAATCCCATTAAAAAGACACCTTCCCCAAATAGGTTTTATTTATAATAACCTAGGGCAGATCCCATAGTGAGTAAGGTGTTCACTGTTTCACCAGTATCTGAATGTGGTTGCACCTTTCCAAAGGGACGTTAGCATACATTGAAACTGAATGCAGACCTGAGCTTCCAAGTATCTAGAACCAGATCAGAGTCAGTGCAGGTGGCTCATTATTCAGCTTTTGCATGGTAAATACAGTCATTAATTTAAAATTAAAAAAAAAAGGGGTGGGGTGGGGGTATCTAAATAATGCCTTAAGGAAATACCGATCTAAAAAGCATACAGAAGAAACATGAGCTAGATCCTCAGTTGGCGTAAATGTACATAACTTTGCCAAAGTCAGTAAAGCTTTGTTTTACAGAAGATGATGGTTAAACTTAGATAATCTCCTAACTCCTCTCTTACCCAGATGTCCTTCAGATATCCGCACTGCTAATACACTGCATGTTCCCACGATCTTCATAATGAACCTTGTGAGAACTCATGCATTTTTCTATGGCTTTTCCCAGATTTGCATATGTTTAGATATATTCGTTAGGTAGAGTGGACAGGATACAGTAACACTAAACTTTTCCTTCAAGTTGTTTGCACTCAGAAATATCTGTCCTCACAAGTGCATACATAGGTGTTTTCCTGGCCAAACAATGTCGTATTCAGTTACTCAGTTTGGGTGCAAGAATGTGGATTTTGTGGATATTAAGATGGTGTATTGTTTCGAAATACATTGTTTTGTGATAGAAGTTGTTCCGTGAGCACTGCAGCTAGCACCAACTGGTTTCTTGCAGATTCGTTTGACTCTGTATTCCTACTTACTTTGTCCAGCCACAACAGCAGTTAATTTCACCTCCTTGTTCCTTGAATCTCTGTCTACATTCACAATCCATCAGGTCCTTTCCAAATCAACCACTGGCTAAGTAAAAGACGGTTTGACCTGTGACTGAGTCCAAAGTATGCACGTACTGCTTGGCTAATGCTGGGCCAATCGAATAAATGACTGTTGAGTTTAAACTGCTGTAATTTTTTAAATGAAAAAAGAATTTGGTTCCCTGAACTCCATTGAGCAGTATCTTCAGAAGAGATTGCCATTCCTCTGCCAAATATGATAGAAATTCACTATCAAATTCAAAGTTACTGGTAGGGACAGATGGATGGACAAATACACAGAAATACAAATTTTCTGAAGAGACCGGGGGGAAATGCCTGGCACGGTCACTGAAAGAACACGAAGAATTCCACAATTTAAAAGACTGTTTTCATTTTGATATCTGGATTCTAGCATCCCTTATCACACACGTGCCATTTTGCTGGAGCACTCTTTGCAAGCATAGTATTCAGCGTGGCAGGGCTTTCTGCGTTAGAAAGACAATGCCTTCAAAGAGCAGCTGAGGAAAGTTATCTCCGAGAGCAATTTGGCCTTTTTATGGGTTAGTTTAGACCAGAAGCTATATGTAAGCATGGAGAAATGGTTTTGATACTGTCTTTCTCCTGCAGTATTCCAACCAAAAGGATATTTTTCAGAGGAAGAAAATCAACAACGTGTTGCTTTTTTCCCCCCAAAGTATCCAAGCACCTAAAGGTAAGGCAAAAAAATCCCCAGAGGTATTTCAGTGTTTTTTGACTTTAAGGATTTTAATCCTCTTGCTGACATCAAGATACCTTCATCTACAAAAACACAGATCTGTTCCACAGAGGTGGTGCAGGCGGGCACTGTATACATGTCTCTCAGTGTTTGCACACGTGCATTTAACTCTTTTGAAAGGAACTGATCCCAAAACAGCTGTGCAGACAGAACAGGTTTGTGTGGTGTTAGTGGAATGAATCAAAACAACAAAAGAGATTGGAAGGGGACTGTAAAACTTGTACTAAGTCTGAAAAATGATACTTGCACTGTACCTTCCTTCTGCAGAGAGCGAGGAAGTTGTAGCTATTCCTGATGAAAGCCATATGCAGTGCAACAAAAGTATCACTAAAATCTGAGGCTGCTTTTATCAAATTATGATGTGTAAAGTTCAGGCAGTTCAGTCTTGTGATGGAAAAAGCAATCTAAAGTATGAACAACCTTGTAATAATATTTGTTCAGTAAGCCATTCTGCTGATAACAAACAAAGTCAGACTCCTTAGTCTGAATGTTTTCCATAGGGAATATCTACTAATATAAAATGCTTGCTTTATTAGCTAACTACACGCTATGAGTTAGCTATACTTTTGCAAAGATACCCTTTGTGTGTGACTTTATTAAATAAAAATTCCATGAGTATTTTGATTTACTATGAGTTTATTGGCTGTGTTACACTTCACTTGAATAATATATGATACAGTAATGGAAGGAGTACTTTTAAAAATAGAAAATTATTTCTCCAAAGCCTTCCATCTTTCCCTGTATGTGTATTTTAGAGAGGTCGCAGATGTCATCTTATCTAATTTCTGGTAGTTTTACCTCTGTGGTACTGTGGGGAGCCATTTTCTGTGTGTGATCTCTAATAATGATGTTACCCTGCATTGCTGAAACTGGCAGAACTGCTGCTGTTAACATTTTGTACGTCTCATTCTTGATCTTGAGGGACTCCATCCTGTCCAGTTGTTCATACATAAAATATGTAGCTACTAATATGTGTAACATAAAATATGCAGGAGAAAAAGAACAAAGTAAATTTTGAAAGTAATACTTCCAATTCTTTTTTCATGTTATTCTTCTGAGTTAATGGTATGTTAGTGTTTTGGATTCCTTGAAAAATATCTTCAAGTCTAAAGTGTTCTTTTAAGACTTGTTCTCAATCTAAGGTTGTGTTTAAGAAGAGTAGACAAGTCTCACCACTCAGTCCCGTGTAAGCCCTACTTTCTTGCTTGCGATTTGCTAGAGTGATTTTTCTGCTGTTTTGTTGCCGAGTCTCATCTGAGAAAACTGCCACTGCTCCATGACCAACTTTATCTTGAGAATCCAGCAGACATCCAGGGGAGAACGTTTGTGTGGGCTCTGTGCTACATGTCCCCGTTCTGTCTGGATGCCTCAGCACGGAAGTCTGCTCCACCGGTTAGGATCCAGTGATCTAGTTCACACAAATGCCTAATCTCTCTCCCTTCCCACATCACATGGAAATGGGAATAAAGAATAAAAATTTGCCCAACCTGAGAATCCATCACAATACTTTTCAGAGAAAGCCTGTAATCAGGTTTGGATGTCTTTCCCGGGACCAGTATGCACCCCATTGTCTACAGTTGCTTCTCTGCTCTCTTACTTCTGTGATTACGAAAAATAGAAGGGCTAATCAGTGTATGTTTATATCTTTAGAAGCAGAGGGAATACAGAGATGGTATTCACACCATTTATTTTGGAATATTTTGGTGCAATTCAGAGGATCAAAATTCAGACCTAAGTTCCCTCTCTGCTCCAGCGGTCCTGAAGGCTGAGTAATGAAGAATGATTGCATTAAAATACGCCTAAAATAGCTGACATAAACATCTCCCACAGTTAAGAATGAATGTGTAATCTATTAGATTTTTTGATAATGTTATCAAAATATTGCAATATTATTACAAATATAATAATTACCAGTTTCAATGACTTTAAAGCAAAATAATTTCTTCTATAAGTTGTTTTATAATGTACTACCTTTAATATCAGCACCATACTATATACAGATGCAGTGTCAGTTATTTAAACACAGTTGGTTTCACTAAATCAGTAGAAGAAACTGAACTTCCTGACTTCTCCAACTTAAATGGATCTACCGGCTTTGATAGCGTTATTCTTCCTGTCTTCCTTTAATTATCAGGAATAGATTAATAAAATAGTGATTAAAAGAGAAAAGAAAAAACAAAGAAGAAAATCCCTTTTTTAGTTCTTAACTGGTCTGGTAAAGAATGCAAGATCCCAAATTGCAGAAAACCAAACACATTATTCAAACCCATTCAATACCAATTACTTTAGAAGAACAAATATATGCAATAGAATTTTCTAGGGAGAAATACTTTACTGGTGATTCTGGAATAACTGATGCAATTATACTTTAAAATAAAATAAGTAAGATAAAAAAAATGTTCATCCTTTAGAAAATTCTATATCGATTTGTAAATTTACTGGAAATGCACATGCAAAAAACATTTGAAAGGAGTGAATCATTATTCCTATAAATAATAATTAAAAGAATTTGAAAGCCCTTAATGAAAATAATTATCAGTAAGCCAGGTGCAGAAAATAATTTCATATTTTGCTGTCATGAAATAACTATAGTAGCTTTCAGAATGGAGATTTAAAATTGCAGTATGAACTTTTATTTTCTTGAAAAGTGTTAATGAGCCATTTAGTATATTGCTACAACTTATTGACGGGGAACAATAATGCATAGCTTTTCCTATGTTGTGGCACTTGTAGAGGTACCATTTCTTTGCTTTAAAATATTTTTCACATTGTGGACAAAAGCAAATGTTTCTAAATGATAAAGCTGTTCAGTTACTTCATGCAGTTGCAGAACGTCTTGTGAAAATATAAACCCACCAAAATAGTGCCATGAATTGGTATCTTCTGAACAACTCACATTTTTAGTACAATTAGGTGATAGTATGCAATTTTGTGTCTTGTGGAACAGCTAAGTGCAAGTATAGCAAACCCACAAACAGAATCTCACAAAGCGGTAAAGGACAAATTATTTTGTCTTCAAAGGTCTAAAACTGAGAAAGGAACTGACAATTCTTTGTATTTTAATCTTCCTTTCAAACACATTATATTATATATATATAGTAAGTAACCCCAGAATTAGACCCAAATCACAAATAAAATAACTTCATCTGAGCTTAATTTCTACCAGTAGAGGGAAAGGGGTCCCAGCATGTGTGGTGATGGCTCAAGAGCAATGAAAAGTTTTGAAAGATTACAGAGAACAGATCATTATACTCACGTAATCTCCACAATACATTTTGATACAAGTCTTCAAGTTCTGTTGAGATGAAAATAGTAGCTTTCCTAGAATAAAACTAACAGCTCAGTAAATTAATTTGTTATTGTTAACTCCTGTTCTGTTTTGAAGAATTGAGAGAAACCATCTAATCAAACCGATACCAAGTACATTAGGCTCCAAGGTAACAATGAAGCAGGAACACTGCTTGGTACTGTACGTCATTGGGCTTTATAGATTCACTGTATACTTAGTCATTAATCATATGTGAGTAAGTATGATTATAACATAAGTAAACAGAGTCATTAGCACAACACCCTCTGTTCTGCTGTGTTGATTTTAAGAATCAGAATATGGCTAGTCAGAGAATGAAATGCTCACCTACAGAAAGTGCTTGTGTTAATGATTTACTTTTCAGATTGGGTCTGGTCTAGTTCCTTTCTTCCTTCTGCTGAAATTGCTCAGCTCATTACTTATTCTCATAACTATTTGTACCTGGTATGCATAGGAAGATGCTTTATAGCCCTTACATGTCACCCAGAGTAATGAAGGCAGATCCTTGGACCTCAGTGGAGCGATGTAAATGAGGGTCTTTTCATGCAAGTTACAATGTGCAAAATCCTGTGAAGAGCTGATAAAAAATCCTGTAACATCACTCTGTTCAAAGACTTGTACAGAATCTGAACTATCTGACAGCAAACCCACCTTTTTCATAGCTAATACCACGTTTTTTTCTGTTAATGATAACTATTATTGTGATAGAACACTGAGAAAATACAAATTGCTCCCCCCACCCAAAAAAAAAAAGGTTTAGAAAATAGAGGTGCAAAATTAGTCTGTATATCCTCTAGTACAACTTGAATGGAAGGTATAGGCTACCATTATCCTGACTGGGTACCAGTATAGAGACGTAATTTTTCTGCAATAATTGGATAGGAATAGTAGCTCAAAATGTGAATTAAAATGCTTCAAATTTTCTTGGTTTTCTTAATGTATCCATCACATGCTTTGTAGCAATTACAAAAAGCTGGATTTTTTTTCCCTAGAATTTAGGAAGACTTTGGAAATAATAAAAAACCCACTTTATTTTGTAGCCTTAATATCTTACCACCTCTTATAATCATTAAAAACTATCTCTGTACTTGTATGGACTCAGCAGTATTGATATGAGCACAAGGTTTTGCATGTCAGCCTGTGTGATGCATAAGGACTACGTGTGTGTCCTTAGAAACAGTTGGAAGAATTTCACAGAGAAGCATACACGTGTGAAACATGGGCTTAAGACTGGCAAGTCTTTGCTTTGTATTTTTTTGTTAGGGCTGTGGTAGATATTTTTCTTTATTATAGTTGTACCAAGCACGTATTTTAATCCCTGTATCTGAAGTGGTCTTTGAGGATGGCTGGGAAATAAATAGTCCCACTATACAGGTAAGCAAAATGATCCAGAAAGGATCTGGTCTGGCTGGTTAGAAGATGGCACACGCAAGGTGCTGAAGGTAGCACCTAGAGTAGGATCCAGTCTCCTGACAACACATATTTTAAAGTGGTGATAAGAATATGAGAACATTTTAAGCCTCTCTTTTTCAGACTCTAATTTTACATGCATTTCCTTGCTATGATTAAAATGTAATACAGTTAATCTTCAGTACAACACAGAAAGGATTAAGTTTACAGGATTACAATAATGTTTTAGTCTGCTTGTGTCAAAACCTTTCATGGTGAGGAACCACTGGGTGTAAATAAGTAGACAAAAATTATTGTTCTATGAAATACTAATACCTGGTATATAATGTGAGAAAAGCACTTAACTGAGTACTGAACTAGATTCTGGTTTGAATGAATCTTTCTGAGAAAAGCCATGAGAGAGTCTAGAGAAAATGAGAGAGAAAATGTTCAGCAGAATATGAGGTTTCAACCTCCTTTTCCCTGTGAATGTCCTTTGGCTGTCCTTTCCTGCCGTCTCCCCTCCAATGCAAAGGCAGGGCTTACAAGAAGGAAATGCAAAATATATTTGTTCACATGATGCACAGTGTTTGTGTACCAGAGTGAACATGTTGAACCTAATCTCACCACTTCATTTTTCTTCTTTGCAAGTCTCACCCAGTTATAGGGTGAGATTTTTGCTACAGTTCTGTTCACCTGGTTGCTTTCTTTCCTCGTTTTCTTGCTAAAAAGTCCCTGTTTCTGTTCCTTCTAAATTTTCTCCTCTCTCACTTTGTTACCCATTATTCTTTTTTGGAGAAACTTAATTCTTTTCTGTAGGAGTGAGGAGGAGTCTGTTCCTGCTCTTCAGGTCCTCCCAGGCAATGGAATTTCTCACCTGTGCTAAAGGTTCTTCCTCAAATTTCCCCTGTCCTGCTTATTGATGTGCATAGGCTTAGACATTGCACCTGATCGTTTCCATGTTGTTCTAATGGAAATCTCAAGTAAAAATAATAAGACATAATTAACTTCTAATTAGAGATCCATATATTTCTGAAGAAGTATGGTTTAATTAAGGTGAGCAGTAAAAAAGATTTAATATGAAATTATTCTATTTATTTTCCCTGAAAAATAGGTTCTAGCATATCAGTTACATATCAATTAAAACCAAAATTCACATCATTGGTATAATAAGCTTCAGCTCTAGCTCTGGAGTCTCTTCAGACGATCGAAAGGTGAACACTAACAACACATT